ACAGCATTGATTTTTCTTATAGCCTATTTGCCAGAAGTTGGTCACATATCCACACTTTAAAGGGGGCTGGGAAGTGTGTTATTTTTTCTGGACTGTCTTCGCCTTTTGAGAGATTCTGTTACCATATAGGAAGGGAAAGACAGAGGTTGACAGACAGTGAGTGATCTGCCTCTCCAGGCCTTCCATAGAGCTTTTGTAGCTTGACATGCACCTGTCCTAGCACTCTTAGGAGTAGGAACTTCACAGTTACTTAGGGGGCCTTATTTTCTTATCTGTAAAATTAGGCTACTGGTTTATAATCCAACATTTGGAGGCAGTATTTCTGGGAAACTGTAACCTCCTAATTCCTTCCTATTTTTTCAGACAAACCCTCATTCCTAGCTAAAGGTCTGCTGTCTGAGCCTAGGAAGAAGTGGAAACGGCACTTACTGCCAAGACCAATGTAATCCCCAGCTATCACCCTGCCCGATAATCATGGGACTATTTTCTTATCTGAATGAGATAAGCCATGTAAAGTGCTCATTTTGGGGAACAGTGATGATCAGGGTCAGGACAAGGCTGAGAAGGGCTCCTGGCAATGGTCAGAGTCATAATCCCAGGCATGAGACATATCCTACCTCTAGTAGCACAGAAATAAAGAGAGGTTCCACTTAAGAGTTGGGGTTGAAGTCTTTGGACCCAAATATTAAAAAAAAATAGTTTATTGCATGTTTCCTTTGTGTCAGGCCCTATGCTCTAGCTGAGGATAATGCTGTTGAACAAGATACTTTTTAAAAAACTCACCATTAAATCCATACAAATGTGCCAAGTACTGAGAAGTACAGGGTGCTGTGATGGCACATAACTGGGGGGCCGCCTTTTTCTGGGTGGTCAGGGAAGTCTTGCTTCCTAGGGGAAATGCGATTTGACCTGAGACTTCAAGTAACACTCAAGACAGAGGGTGGAAATGGGAAGGGAAGTGCATTCTACGTTTACAGAACAGCATGTTCAGTAAGTGGGGCTGAAGTTGAGAAAGCAGGGAAAATGGGAGTGCTAAGAGGCTGGAGAGGTGAGTGGGAGTCAACCATCTTCCTGTGCAGCAGCACTGGAGGGATCAGAGCTGGAAGAAGAAAGGCCTGCACTATCAGGGTTGGGAGGGAACTTAAGGGTGGTCAATTCATTGGCTTTTAAGTGCTGCCCCACCTCCCCCAGGGTCATTCTGGAATTTTATGGAGGTATTTTTGTCACAATGGTGGTGTTGGATGGAAGCCAGGAGTGCCACAAATCCTGCAAGGCACAGGATGGTTCTGCCTATCAAAAAAGTTTTCACAGACTTTCATATGTCTTGCTGGACATTCGTGTAGGTAAAAACTGTATAAATTACCAGAATCTAGAACCTATTTTTCAGATAAACACAACGTATTTTTGCACAGTTTTAACATATGCAGATTCTCCAGAAATATAACTACTGTATAATCTAGAGAAGATTGGACTGTGTTTCATTCAGAACTTTACCAAAAAGTGTTCACCATTTTGGATCATACCTTGTGATTTTTGAAACACCAATATAAGACACAGCATTATGGCTGTGGCATTTAGGCATATTTTATGTGAAAAGGCAAATATCTGACCACTTCATTAGGTCTCCTACAGCAGTCATGACCAAACATTTACATACTGAAATATGTATTTTTAATTATAAATTATTTTTCTTTATTATAAGGTAAAACTGGTTTTTAAAATATAGATTGTTTATATTATCTATGATCTTCTACGCCATTATCTTTAAGTTTCATGACAGAATAAAGTGCTCGTGAGGAAATATTTGTTACAAAAAGGGGGCCTTGGGTCTGAGAGTGTGCGATCCACCGTTCCAGTTCGAAGACTCCCAATCCGGTTGCACCTGCATCTTTACTAAGATACAGATCCCCGGCGCCACCCCCGGGTTGAATCTAGTGCTCGCCTCTGATTCCGACCTTCCCCAGTCCACCCCGAAGATCCACCGCCCTCCGGACAACATCGCGCGAGAGGGGCGAAGGGCGCAACCGTCCTGGGCTGGGAGCTTCGCTCGCAGGGGGCGGGGCCAGAGCACCACCGAGAGGGAGCGACGCTGCTCCTAGAGAGGCTCGGCCGCGGCCTGGTGACGCACTTCCGGCCGCGCCGCGGAGCCGCCCGCTGCGGAGGTGAGTGTGGGGCCGCGGCCGGCGGGGGCGGTGCCCTGGACCCAAAGCTGTGGGTGCGGTTGGTGCCGGGTCTTCCGCGCCTGGGGAAGGGAGCGGGGCAGCGGCCCGGGGTCCTCTTCCGCTGCACCCCCCCCCACCACCAGTTTCGGACTTGGTGGCCGAAGACGTTCAGTCCCGTGGAAAGCGAAGCCTGGGTTACTGTCAGAGCCACGAAGCCCCGAGCATTTAGCACTTTGTTCAGGGAAGATGCTACTGGCCTTTTGGGAACCTGTGTCGAAGCAGCCAGAGGGTGGAATATTTGAAGGGGCGAAGCCGCCTGAGGTGATATCGCGAGTCTTTTGACATGTTGAGGTCGTGCAGGGGCTTTTACGTATATGCATTTCACGTATGGAGTGTATGCTCCCTGGTTCCTAACATAGGGTCGTGAATCAGGGCTCAGTGGGAGAGCAGAAAAAGCAGAGCCCTTCCCAGCCACCCGAGAGCAGAAGCAGCCCGGCTTTTGGAGGGCACTGTCAGAGCGGTATCAGTTCCAAAAGGTAACTCGGCCCTGCTTTGCTCGGGCTGAGGGATGACGAAGACCTGGTAATGATTTCTACAGTATAATTACTGATTTGCTCAATCCTAGAATACGCATAAAATAGTTACAGAATTGCTCATTCATACCCTCATGAAAAGCAGGCTTACTAAAAATATACTATAAAGTAGTAATTAAAACATGAAATATAAAAAAAATCCTCTGGAATGTGGCAGATAGTGTATTCAAAGGAAAATTTATGGCCTTATAGGTTTTAATTGCCAAATAGGAAAGAATGAAAAATTAAAAATCATGCAACCTCAAGAAGCGTTTGGGTACAGGTGTTTTTAGCTTTATGGTATTTAGTTAAAATACTGTTTTCCAAAGTTACTTAGTTGTTTCCTTTCCCACCACTTCAGTGTGGTTATGTTATTCAATTGTAGTATAGTTAGGCTCATTTGCTGCTGTTTGTATTCCTTTTTGGGTTGTCACCCCGTCCCTTCGTGGTTGGTTGGTGTTATATATGTGTGTATATGTTTATTTATTTGGATATGTGAAGCATTACTATGGTTACGAAGTCAGAACAAAAAGGCACACTCAGAGAAGTGTCACTCTCCCCTTCTACCTCATTTTTTTCCATCCTCAGGTTCGTTTCACCCACTTTCACTGGCACCTGAGGCAACCATTCTCCTTATTGTCTGGTTTATCCTTCTGTTTCTTTTTGCACAAATGATGTATTTTCTTATACTCTCTTTTTTTCTTTCACAAAAGATAGCACACTACCTTTTGCACTTTGCTTTTTTCGTTTGACAGTGTATTCTGGAAATCACTCCATATCATAGAGATAAGTATGTTTTTTAAAAATGTCATTCACGTGTACAGAAGATGGCATCTACATGGCAATTAAGAAGCATAGTAGTAAAATGAGCACCCATGCACACCCCATCCCATTAAGAGGAACATTGCCAGTACTGCTGCATCTATCTGTGTGCTCCTCCCCAACCCAAACCCCAGCTTCCCACCCCTAGAGGTAACAACTGTCTTGAATTTTGTGTTAATCATAGTCTTGCCTATTTTTAAAGATAATTTTATCACTTATACATGTGTCTGTAGACAATGTGTTTAATTTTGTTTGTTTTTGAGCTTTATGAAAATGGCATCATAGTGTCTATAGTCATCTGGGACTTGCCTAACTCCACTGTATGTTCCTGAATTCATCCATGTTGTGTGTAGCTGTGAGTCGTTCATTTTTACTGCTGGGCAATATTCCATTGTAAACGATATGAAAACTTATTTATGTATTTTCAATGGACATGTGGGTTGTTTCCAGTTTTTTGCTGTTAAAATACTGCTGATAATGAATAATTTTGTACATATCTCCTACATATGAGGGTTTCTCTGGGGTATAAGTTTTAAAATTTAGGCTTGAATGTTGAATGTTATCAAATGCCTTTGGCATCTATTGAGATGGAGAGTATGTTTATCTTTCTTTGATTTATTAATGTGGAAAAGTATACTAATCTATATCCTAATATTGAGCTTTACTTGCATTCATGGTGTGATCCCTCTTAGGCATGGTATGTCACTTTAATGAACTACTGGAGTCTATTCCTTAATATTTAGGATTTTTGCATTAGTATTCATAAATGAGACTGGTCTGTGGTTTTTGTATCAATATTGTGCTGGCATCATAAAGAGGACTGGGAAACTTATTTTGCTGTTCTCTGCTACAGTTTAAATAGTGTTGGAATTATTCATTTCTTAAAGATTTGAAAAGATTTTCCCATGATACATGTGGGCTCAGTGTTTTATGGGAGTTCACTCTTTACTGGCTGTCTCAGTTTAATTAGGTAAAGGTAATCACAGATTACAGAGAAAAGTCTATATAATAAAATTGGTAGAGTTGAATTATTAGATTCAAATAGAGTTATACGTTCTTCTATCATAGAATACATTTTCTTTTTAAGCATCTATAGAATATTTTTTAAATGGACACTTCAGTCACAAAAAACTCTCAGAAATCTGTAAAGCAGAGGTAAATAGATCAGGGTATTTAAATACCATGCAATATGGGCCAGCCCCGTGGCTTAGCAGTTAAGTGCGGGCGCTCCACTGCTGGCGGCCTGGGTTCGGATTCAGGGGGCGCACCAATGCACCGCTTCTCCAGCCTTGCTGAGGCCATGTCCCATATACAGCAACTAGAAGGATGTGCAACTATGACATACAACTATCTACTGGGGCTTTGGGGGAAAAATAAATAAATAAAATTATTAAATAAATAAATACCATGCGATAAAGCCAGAAGTTATGAACAGAGAAGAAATTAACAACAACCAACTATCCTAAACAATCCTTTGGTCAGGGACGAAACACAGTTGCTGACTAGCAATAAAATAGTAATGAAAACATGACATAAAAAAGCCTCTGGAATGGGGCTAATGGTGTAGTCAGAGGAAAATTTGTGGCCTTACAGGTTTTAATTGACAAATAGGAAAGAATGAAAATAAATGAATAAATCATGCAACCTCAAGAAAGTAGGAAAAAATTGCCTTTTATAGTCTAACTTGCCCCCAAAGCAGAACATAGGACAAAGATTTGTGTGTGGCTAATTTATTTGGGAACGCAGTCCCAGGGGCAGAGTGAAAGACGGGGAGTGAAGCAGAGAAGGAGGGAGAGTGAATACAAGGATGTTTTGTCAGGCTGGCCCTTCTATAGCTGACTGTGTTCTATCTTGCAGCATCTTTGAGGAGCCTTGGAATCTCACGTGGGGGACTAAACGGGAAAACGTCCATTGACCTCTGTCCCCTATTTGGCACCATAGGCCTGCACTATTAGCTCTCCTGCACTTCAGGGTCCTGCAGGTGTCCACAGGTGTCCCACACAGGACACCAGAGAAGCCCCAGGGCAGGAGCCAGGTGTATGTGGTATAGATCCTTGTGGAGGCATTGGTAGAATGCACCTGCACAAAGCTGATCAAAGCTTCTAGGACTGAATAAGAGTGAGACAAGAGCCTTGGAGTGGTGCATGAGGTGTCTCTTACAGAGCTAAAGAAACAAATTAAGAAAGCAGAACTTAATGAATTAAAAACAAATAGAAAACAAAGAGTGGTGTTCTAAATAAATAAAAAAGCTTGTTCTTTGGAAATAAAAGGAAACAACATTCAAATAGATAAACCACTGCTCAGCCTAGCTTTGTCTGTTTGGGCTGCCATAACAAATACCATGGACTGTGTGGCTTAAAGAACAGAAACTTACTTCTCACAGTTCTGGAGGCTAGAAGTCCAAGATCAAGGTGCCAGCTGATTTGGTTCTTGGTGAGGGCTCTCTCCTTGGGTTTTGTCCTCACATGACAGAGACAGAGAGCTCTGGAGTCTCTTCCTTTTCTTGTAAGGGCGCCAGCTCTGTTGGCTCAGGGCTCCACCATTTTGACCTCATTTAACCTTATGACCTCCTCACTGGTCCTATCTCCAAATATAGTCACTTTGGGGGTTCGGGCTTCAAAATATGAATTTTAGGGGGACACATTCAGTGCGTAACACTAACCAAGGGGAAAAGGTCTAGAAAGCGCATATATTCAAAAGAAGTGGGAAAAGCACAGTAGCTCCAGATATGGAGGGAACGAAAAGAATCATGAGCCAGTGTTTTCCACAACTCTGCACTAAAGTTGAAATCCTGGAAGACAGATGAAATTTTAGGAAAGTATAGATTTTCAAGACTGACTTTAGGAGAATAAAAATCAGAATAACCAGTCCATGTGTTTTTGAATATAATGAACAAGGGGCGCTGAGCCTGGGGACCTTAGATGCTACAGTGATCCCCTCTCTCAGGGAACTGAGACCTTGGCTTCTTTGCTATTAGAAGGCTGGCAAGTGTGAGGAGGCAGCCTCGTACCTCATCCGGCCCAGCTTCCTCAAGGTAAGTCGGGGCCATGCAGGAGGCTGACCTCCCAAGGTCTGTAGAGAGGTATTAGGACTCTTGAGGGCACTCAGCTGTGTGAGGGAACAGGGCAGGATGTGAGAAGGGGAGCAGCTGTCCCCTTCTCCAGGTGCTGCGTCCCCGGGCCTGACTCTGAGGCCTCTGTGCTGGAACTGCAGCCCCGCCAGCCTGGCTTCTCTTGCAGTGTAATCGAGGATGATACTTGTTTAGAGAAAAAGAAGTAAGTCAAAGGTCTTAGTAATGTTTGTCTCTTGAGCTGAATCATTGATGCATGAGTCTTTGTTTTTTTATTCTCTAGTCTCTGCATACATTTTTTTTTTTATAATTTTATTTATTTATTTATTTATTTTTCTCCCAAAGCCCCAGTAGATAGTTGTATGTCATAGCTGCACATCCTTCTAGTTGCTGTATGTGGGACGCAGCCTCAGCATGGCCGGAGAAGCAGTGCGTCGGCAGGCGCCCGGGATCCGAACCTGGGCCGCCAGCAGCGGAGCGCACACACACAACCGCTAAGCCATGGGGCCGGCCCCTTTGCATACGTTTTATGTAGACTGTTTTGTGTGTATGATATGTATCAGAATTGTAGAATTCTAGGGTTCCCAGCAGTGAGTGTTAGTGTCCCTGTCTGGGAGGAGTCCTGGGCACTGAGCCAGGGAACACATCCCTACCTTCTTCCTATGGCAGCTCCTGCTCGTACTCCCATCTGGACCCAGGCTGCCTGCATCTCAGCTCCTCTGTGCTGGGCTCTGTTGTTCCTGTTAGGGGTGGCTTGCCTCACATCGTCTTTCTCTGTGTTTTTCCTCAGCTCCAGCCCTTCTCTGAGAGGGACACCAGGTGATGGCAGCCATACTCCTGACAGCCTGGCCCCAGGTGAGCTGTGGTTCCTTCAGCTCTTCCTCTGAGCAGTTTCAAACTAGAGCAAACTGAGAAGGGAAGCTGGTGAGCCTTGCTGTGAAAGCTGGAGAGGGCCTCCATGCTTTTGCCTGCCAACCTGGAACTTGTGGGAAGAGCGGTGATGTGGGGATGGAAGCAGCAGGAGAGTGTGCCCGAAGGCCGGAGTGTGGTCTTCTGAACACGAATTTTCTTTGCTCCTCTGGTTCAGGAGCTCCCCAGCACAGGGCTCTGGTGAATGGGAGATGTGGAAGTCGCCCATGTGGGATGTTCCACGCGTGGATGTGAATGGAGGAGGATGGCAGAGGAGTAGGATTCCCAGGGACCAGGGTGTAGGTGAAGAGGAATAGCAGGGCCAGGTCAACATAAAGGATGGCTGTGCCTCTAATTCAGGGGAGGGGAAGATGAGGGGAGTGGGGTCAAGGGAGGGAAAAAGACAGGAAGTCCTGTGGGAGAGGATGTCTCATCGTGTCCTGCAGAGGCTTTCAGGGCTTGGGGTGCAGTGGCTAAAAATTTAGGTCTCTGATAAGCTCTGGATCCTCTTTCCCCGAAAAATAAACATGCAAATCAGATTTTCCATACAGTTTCAGGGACTGCATGGACCCCCTGAAGCTCATCCATGGACCTCCATGGACTCCAGGTTGGGAATAATCTTAGTCACAGTAATTCCAGTAATATTTGGGGCTTACTGTGCAGCAGGCACCATACTAAGCAGTTTGCATGGATTGCTCAGTGCTGACAACTGTGCTCTGAGATAGGTACTGTGTTGTGCTCGTTCTACCACAAAAGACATGAAGGCATTGGGGAGTAGGGTGATTTGCCCATGGTCACACAGCCATTGTGTGATTCTTAACTGCTCAGCCTTAGGGCACCTGTGGAACCAGTGAAGTTAACGTGGTCAAATTTGTGACTGCTGTGTAGGGAGTAATTTTCAGGAGAAATTCAAAAGCAAGGTGACCACTTCAGAAAGAATTCCACTGGTCCAAATGATGTGGGCTTCATCAAGGAATGTTGTAGTTAAAGAGGGGGATCCAATTCAAGTAATGCCTAACAAAGAAATCCTTAGGAAGTAGAGTCAGAGTGAGGAGGTGGGGTAACAGAGAGGGAGGAGTCAAGAACAAATCCCCAGGGTTCTGGCTGAGGTTTCCTGTGCAGGTGGCAGTGCGTGACACCAGCTGAGGTTTGAATTCAGGAGGTGCTAGCTTGTCGGGGTAAAGGGTGGTGGCAGTAGGCATTGAAGGCATTTAGTTTTGTGCAGAGAAGTTACTTGACCTGTCCAAGGTCACACAGTGAGTGACTCACAGAAACACCCAGAGGTTGGACTGGAATTGTTGACGGGTGGACGTCAGTAGAGTCAAGCAAGACAGGTCCTGGCAGAGAGGAGATAAGGGCAGATCCCTGCCGGTGCATCCCCAAGGTTGTTACAAAAGGCTGAGGTGGACAGAGGGAGAGCAGCCAGAGCCTGCAGCTGCCCAGGAGGGAGGAGTTGGGCCTGGGAGCAGCGCTCAGTATCAGACCTGAGGGCAGAGCCTGTGCTGACCGCATAGCATAGTGACGCACAGATGAGCAGGCAACAGGAAGGCTGACTCCCTTCTTGTCCAAACCTTCTTGGAGAAACAGTGAATTCTTGGGTGAAGTTGAAAAGGATGAGACTTGAATGGGAGGGAGTAACAGAAAATGTTGAGTTTTCAGCGAGACCCATCTGGAAGCAGAATGGGCTGCTCCCCTCCACCCCCAGCCAATCTGGGCAACACAGAGCTCATAGGGGGGTCAGTGATGGGAATCAAGCAGCAGATGGGGGCTGGATGAGATGGAAATCATGGCTGTTCTTTGCGGGTGCCTTAAGGTTTGCAGGTGGGGGCAAGGTGTGGGGAGCAGGATGGAGAAGCCAAGACCTCAAGGGGATGAAGTGGGAATCTAGGGGGTCGGTTCTGAGCTGCCTCTGCTGGTGAGGGAGCAGTCTAACTGAAAGAATGGAGTTGCTTTAGGGGAACTAGGTAATGGGATGGTATCTTTCATAAGTTAAAAAATGGCTTGGGGTTTCTGTGCCATGAGAGATGTCAGATATTTCGTGGTTTACTTTCCAGGTGCTTTTTCTCAAGTCTTTCCCCTTATTATTAATTTTATGCTCTTCATGAACTCCCTCCCCAAGCCCTTATACTGCCCTCTGCCCCTCACTTAGGGCCTGAGCCATGGAATTGGCCCTAGGGCAGCAGGAACCTGTTGTTTCAGAAGTCCGTGACCTTCGAGGATGTGGCTGTGTACTTCACTCAGACGGAATGGGACAGCCTGTCCCCTGCACAGAGGGCCTTGTACAGGGATGTGATGCTGGAGAATTATGGGAATGTGGCTTCCCTGGGTAAGGCCTCTCTCCCCCTGGGATCCAGACTCTGCCAGTTGGGGTTTCTTGGCTTCCTGCCCCTAACAGGTTGCAGGTGGGGTCCCTGGGAATCTTTTACTGAGTGGGAACCCCAGAGGCTGAGATTCCTAATCCCCTAGACTCGGGTTGCTGGGAAGGGGGAACTTCAAACCCTTGTTGGGCGAATATAGGACTTTGCTGGGACTGGTGTGCACTCTTGATCCACCCTATGGCACCTTGATCCACCCTATAGGAGCTGTGTTTTGGAGACAGTGTGGAAAAAAGTAACTTTCTTTTCCACAGCGTTATCCTCAGGTTCTCCCACAGCTTACCTGTATCTTTTGAGGTCTCCTGGGCCCACAGTCTGGGCCCTTCCCAAAGCCGCCTACACCTTCTCAAGCACCCGTCCACCCAAAAACATACACATTTTCTAACCCCCACACCTTTCCAAGCCCAGCCTCCCCCCCAACCCCTTTCCCTTAGTCATTTGGCATGGGACTCTCTGGTGCTCTCATCTCCCCATTGCTGAGACAATCTGAGAAGAGGCTGAGGAACTCATCTGTGGGAGATTATTCACCTGTCTTCTATTTCCTTTCCCCCAAACAGGATTTCCGCTTCTCAAACCTACTGTGATTTCACAACTGGAGGGAGGAGGTGAGCTGGGGGGCCCATTTCTACTGGCTGCTGGAACAGAAACAGGCCCCAAGGCCCTTTGGACTGGTAAGGGAGGCCTGTGTTGCCCATTATGTTGGAAAGTTTAACTCTTTAGGAAGAAAGTCAATTTTAGCAACATGTAAGCATGCCACATACCAAGTAAAATTTAAATAAATTTTAATGATTTATAGAGATAGGTACAATTGAGACTTTTCTGAGTATGTTTGCAGTTTGCTGTTTCTTTCTAGTTCCAAGAACAGATCTTTTTTCAAATGCCTCATTCTAATTCTTTTCAATTGTAGTTTTGGAATCCTACCTTTCTCAGACAAAACGAATGGATTTAGTAATTTTTGGGGTCCTTGTTATTTTCTAAGCATTGTCCATTTAATGTGGAGGATGGAAAATTAACAGTCTCTTAATGGAGAAAGGCAGAATAGCCTGGTGGTTAAAAATACAGTCTTTGGAGTAGACTTTCCTGAGGTCCAGTCCCAACTGTTTTCCTAGTTGTGTGACCTTCTAGCTGTGTGACTTTCAGCAGGTCAGTTATTTCAGTTCTCTAAGATTCAATGTTCTTATCCCTGAAAATAGAATAATAATAAAATGAGGTAATAGTGCTAGTCTTGTAGGTTGAGGATTAAACAAGCTAATGTATACAGCTCCTAGCTTACAGTCTGTGCTCAATGAAATATTAGTTTTTATTAATGTTTTTTGGCAGAGACAGCTGTACATAGTAAGCTGCCAGAAATAAGGCAGAAGGGAGGAAGTGCTCTCAATTCGGTGCTTCTCACATGATGTGCAAATGAATCACCTGGGTGTCCTGCAAATATATGTATTGTCATTCAGTAAGTCTAGCATAGAGCCAAGATTGTGTATTTTTATTAATTCCTAGGTTATGCCAATGTTTCTTGTTCCCAGACCATACTTGAAGTAGCAAGCTTCTTATTGGCTCAAGCAGAGTAGTTGCCAGATGACTTCCCATTTCCTGAGGCCCAGCTTTACTTTACTTTACAAGATTCTCTTGTATCCTTTTAATGAATCCTTTTTCTTTAAAAGATAGTTTCAGTGAGTTTTTATTCCTTGTGATCCATTCAAAGAGATGATCCCTGACCACAGAAGACATGTTTTGGAAATGGGAGTTTAAAGTGCTTGGTGTATAGAGGGGAAAAAAGTAGTGTTGTAGAGCTCCTTAATCAAAGGGGTCTGGATTTCATTCTGTAGGCAGCAGACAGTCCTGAAGTCTTTGAACAATTCCTCATGATTTTATCTGAGGATATAGAAACATTAATCTCATCAGTGTGTAGGTTAATTGGGGTGAGGAATCATGGGTTTTAGGCAGGCAGAAGGCGAGGGTGTAAGGCCCAAAGCCCATGTCAGTAGAGGTGACTTTCTTTTAAACAAACTTTCTCTCATTTGCTGGAACTGTGATTGGTCATCTCTACTTCAAGAGAGGGTGGAAAATATAGTTTTTAGCTGTAGTTTTAATTGCTACCTCATAAAAAATGGAGGATATACTAGTAAGGAAGAAAGGGAGACTGGATATTGGTTAAGCAACCAGTAGTATCTGTCACACCATAGAATTTGGTAAATAGAAGGTCACTAGTGTAGAAAAACTGGCAAAGAATATAAGAGATTGATCCACATAAAAGGTACAAATTTTAATCAATGTAAAAAATGTTCACCTTCAGTAGAAGCCAATGAAATATAAATTAAAACAATGAGAGATGTTTCACCTGTCTTATTGAGAACAATTAAATTATAATAAGTGATGGTGAGAGTACAGCAAAACAGGAAAGATTTCTGGAGGTGAATGTGAATTGGTAGTCTTTCCAGAAAGTACCTTAGCAATACATATAAAGAGCCTTTTAAAAGATTGTACTTGATAACCTGGATATTCTCTTCTGGGGAAGTATCCTAATAAAGTAGTCAGAGATATAGACAAAGATGAACAAGATTTCATCATAATATTATATAGTAAAATATTGGAAATAACCTGAATTTTCAGTATAGAGAGAATGGTTGAATTAAATTACCTCTGCAGATGGAATACTATTTAGCAATTTAAAAATATATTTTTACAGACTATCTAAAGACATTGAAAAATTATCATTATTAATGTTAAGGAAGAAAAATTTTCAATTTTGAAAAAATATATGTTTTTAGAAAAATGATTGGAAGGAAAATGATTGAGGAAGGAGATACATCAGAAGATTAGCAGTAGTTACTGTTAGGTGGTTATATTTCAGGTAATTTGAATTTTCTTTGTAAATTTCTGATACTACAGATAAATATTATTTTATAATTGAGAAAAGACCAATAGTATATTGAAAATTCTTGCTAGGGAAATCCAGGTCATTTGGGTCTTTTGAGGGTGATTATAATGAAATACTGGGATAGGGGGCATATTACATGTGGTTGAGGAGAGGTGAGAGATGAAAAAATAGAGGCAGCATTTTAGGGCCAATTTTGAGAAATTTGGCAACAAATACGGAGATCAGTAGCTCTATTGGGACTGTAAGGATTATAGAAAGACTAATGGGATTATAGAAAGAATTTTAGAGAATGACCAATTTTAGGATTGAGGGAAGAGGTAGAAGGAAAGGCAAGGAGGATGCAGCAGTGTTCTGGAGGGGATGGGAAGAGATGGCTTCAAGAGATCAAATGGGCCTAAACAGAGCCTTTCTAAATAGAGAAAAAAAAAGTTGAAGGAGTAATTTTGGAAAGCCTAGTGTTTAACTTCTAAGGAAAACAAAATTCTTTTCTGGTGCTGCTAACACTTGCCATCCCCAGTGTTGCCACATGTTGTTGGATCCTGCGCCTTTTCCTCCTTAAGCAATTTCCATTTTTATTAAAAAGGGACTCAGCGACATGGGGATATTTGAGAAGAAACTGCAGAGTATGGTAAAGTAAAGTAGTCCTCCCTTACTGCAGTTTCACTTTCCATGGTTTCAGTTACCTGCAGTCAACCGCAGTCCTAAAATATTAAGTGGAAAATTTCAGAAATAAACAATTCATAAGTTTTAAATTGTGTGCTATTCTGAGTAGTGTGATAAAATCTCTCACTGTCCCACTCCATCCTGCCCAGGACATGAATCATTCCTTTGTCCAGCATATCCATGCTGTTACACTACCCACCTGTTGGTCACTTAGTAGCCGTCTCAGTTATCAGATCGACTGTTATGGTATCAGCTTTGGTAGTATCTGAGGTTTCAGGCGTACACTGGGGGTCTTAGAACATATCCCCTGCAGATGAGGAGAGACTACTCTATGGTGTAATGGAAAGAACACTCATCTAGTGGATAAGACCTAGAATTTTGTTCCATTGCTGTCACCTTTAGCCTTCATGTTATTGATTTAGAGACTGGCAATTTTTAAAAAAATCATTACAGTACTTTAAAATTTGTAATATTGACACATGCTTAAATAGTACAGAAAGTGTATAAAGTGGGAGAAAAAAGTCTACCAAACTTCCTGTGCCAGTTTGCTCAGTATATTCTAGGCATATACAAATATATATGTGTATGTTGGCACATTTTATTTTCCTTTACACAAATGTAATCTACTCTTCATGCTGTTTCTCAACTTGTTTTTTCACCTAACATCTTAGATGTCTTAGTATCTTGGACATCTTTTTGTGTCAGTGTATATGGATTTATTTCATTTTTTTTTTTTACCAGCTATGTATTATTCCATCTTATGGAGAAATCTTAGATTTTTTGATCTAGTCTGGTGATTTTTAAAAACCCCCTTGTTTACTATGATTCTTTATTCTTTCTAACACAATTCTTTTCTTTTTTCTAACATGGTTCTTACATGACATTTTATGTTTTCTGTTTTTTATAGTAGATATTGATATCCAGACTGATGATAATTTGACAAAGGAAATGTATGAAGAAAAAGTTAATACATCATTTGAACTTCAGAAGGACTTTTCCCAGGAAACAGACTTTGCAGAAGCCTTTATTCTAGAGAAATGGCAGGAAGTTCACGCAGTAGGAAGTATGAAGAAAGAAAACAGTGTCTTTGACGGAACACTGAAAGAAGACACAAGCCCCATGAAGGGGTGTTTCTTTCGTCAAAGTCCAAACTTGAATCAATGTCGTACCTTCTCCACTGGAGTGCAGTCCCCTGAGTGTACAGGATTGGAGAAAGCCTTCAACTTTGACACAAAACTTATTCAGCATGAAATAATTAATACTGGGAAAAGACCTTTCAAATGTGAAGAATTAGTGGAAACCTTTAGGTGTAACTCTCAACTTACTCAGCATCAAGATAGTTACACTGGGGAGAAGCCCTATCAGTGTAAGGAGTGTGGCAAAGCCTTTAGTGTTCATGCAAAATTAATTTGGCATCAAAGACTTCATAGTGGGGAGAAACCCTTCAAGTGTGTGGAGTGTGGGAAAAGCTTCAGTTACAGTTCCCATTATATTACACATCAGACAATCCACAGCGGGGAGAAGCCCTATCAGTGTAAGGTGTGTGGGAAAGCCTTCAGCGTTAATGGGAGTCTAAGTAGGCATCAGAGAATCCACACAGGAGAGAAGCCCTATCAGTGCAAGGAGTGTGGAAATGGCTTCAGCTGCAGTTCTGCGTATATCACACATCAGAGAGTCCACACTGGAGAGAAACCTTACGAGTGTAATGACTGTGGGAAAGCCTTCAATGTTAATGCAAAATTAATTCAACATCAGAGAATCCACACCGGAGAGAAACCTTATGAATGTAATGAGTGTGGGAAAGGCTTCAGGTGCAGCTCCCAGCTTAGGCAGCATCAAAGCATCCACACTGGAGAGAAGCCCTATCAGTGTAAGGAGTGTGGAAAAGCCTTTAGTAATAATGCAAAACTCATTCAGCATCAAAGAATTCACACAGGTGAGAAACCCTATGAGTGTACTGAATGTGGAAAAGCCTTTAGCGTCAAAGGGAAGTTAATCCAGCACCAGAGAATCCACACAGGTGAGAAACCCTATGAGTGTAAAGAATGTGGGAAAGCCTTCAGGTGTAACTCGCAGCTTCGGCAGCATCTGAGAATCCACACTGGGGAGAAGCCCTATGAGTGTAATGAGTGTGGAAAAGCCTTCAATGTTAATGCAAAACTAATGCAGCATCAGAGGATTCATACTGGGGAGAAACCATTTGAATGTAATGAGTGTGGGAAATGCTTTACTTCTAAAAGAAACCTACTGGATCATCACCGAATCCATACTGGAGAAAAGCCTTATCAATGTAAGGAATGTGGGAAAGCCTTCAGTATCAATGCCAAACTAACTAGGCATCAGAGAATACATACTGGGGAGAAACCTTTCAAATGTATGGAATGTGAGAAAGCGTTTAGCTGTAGTTCTGACTATATTGTGCATCAGAGAATCCACACTGGAGAGAAACCCTTTCAATGTAAGGAGTGTGGAAAAGCCTTCCATGTTAATGCCCATTTAATTCGACATCAGAGAAGCCACACTGGGGAGAAACCCTTCAGATGTGTGGAGTGTGGCAAAGGCTTCAGCTATAGTTCTGACTGTATTATACATCAGACTGTCCATACTTGGAAAAAACCTTATGTTTGTAATATGTGTGGGAAAGCCTTCAGGTTTAACTTCCAACTTAGTCAGCATCAGAATTTCCATAGTGAAGGAAAATCCTAATGAGAAGGATGTAGAAAACTGTCAAGGTTCGTGCTGAAATGGATCAAGTATCATCAGATTCACCCTGGTGGAAAACGCTGAGAGGGGAAATAAATATGACAGAGTCTTCACATGGAAACAAGCCTTTTCCATTTTATTCCATTTTAAATCAGGAATGATGACCAGTTAAAAAGTAACATCCAAAAATAAATTATTTTACACCAACAACCATAGAAAATATCCCATTCCGAACAGCATCAAGAAAAGATTTTCTAGGAATAGACTTAATTATTTTGGATGACCTATATGGAGAAATTATAAATCTCCACTGAGGACCTCAAAAGGAACCTTAAATATATGGGGGAGAGAGAGAGACCGTTTTCTTGGATATGAAAACTCATAAAGATATTCATTCTACCTAAATTAATTTATTTCCCCTTGATTTTTGACAACAAGCATGCATCCCTTTTGTAAAGAGGAAAAAAAATAAAACTTTCCTTTAAAAAGGAAAAAGATAAGTAAATCTTTTTTTATTTTCATGGAATGGAGAAAACCTTTTTAAGCACCAGATGAAAGCTAAAAACCAGCCATAAGGGAAAATACTGATAAATTCACTTTTCAAAATTAAATATTTATGTTTTTGTTTTAAATAATCCCAAATAAGGTTAAAAGATAAAGCACAAAAACTAGAAATACCTTTGAAAGATTTGTGATATAAAAGTATAATATCTAATATACCAGAGGTCTTAAGAGAAAGATAAGTAATTTAATAAAACTCAGCAAATGATCAGCAGCTTTTAAAAAGATATAAAAATGACTAATAAAGTAAGAGATGTGTCGTCTCAGTACTCTAAAGAGTGAAAATTAAAACATGCACACGATCACACACAGGAAGCCCCCACACCTCTCTCCCACAGATCAAAGGACAATTACACAGACCCTCCCATAGACACACATACAGTGTACCCCAAAGCCCCCCACATACACAGACATAGAGACGGTACACCCACACAGGCCACCTAGACATACCTGCTTCTGCGCTCTCTCTAGCTCGAGTGACCAGTGTCAGCCAAGAGTGCTGTCTTGAATACTTCAAAGGAACCATTCCTGTCAGAAACCTAATGCCATGGTATAGAACCTCGGCAGAGTGTCACAGGGACATCATTGTGTAAGTCCCCCTCCCAGCCCCCAGGCTCCTGGGAGCTGAGCATGAATGGAGGCAGACCCTAGATCCCTCAGAACACAGAGGAGGGAGCAGGGCCCTTCTTCCCCCTGACCATCTGGCCCTGCTCCTCTGGGCAGTTCCATACCACACACAGACCCAGAAGTGCCCCAGGCCATGGGGTCAAAGTCCTTCATTTACTCATAGAGAAAGTGAGGGCCAGAGATGGATGGCACTCCCCCTGGTCACACAGCAAACCAGTGGCACATGTGGTCCATTACTGAGGCCAGAGGAGAGGTCAGAAGGCCATGGCTCACCCCAACCCTCCTGGTTCATGAACAGCTTCTAGGTGGTCTCTGGATGTGGCAGTCAGGGGAGGCGGGGACAGGAAGTCCTGCAGTCCTGGCTCCCAGCAGGGTCAGGCAGTTTCTTTGCTGTGCCAGGACTGAGGCAGGGGCTCGAGGAGGATCAAGAATCACTGAGGACAGAACCTGTTGTCCCACATCTACCACCAATGCCCTGTGTGACCTTGGCTTCTGGGTGTCAGGCTCCTGGTCAGTGCAGGGTGGGGGCTGGTCTCAGGGCTCAAGGCCCTTCCCATCCAGACAGTCCCTGAGGTTTTTTCCCCTCTCTCTAGGTTTGTTCCTGTCCAGGGCAGGTCCTTCTGTTCAGGTTCCAAGGACACGAGGGTGAGGAAGGCAGTTAGACACATGCAAAGCCTCCTGAAGTCACATGGGCCCATTGCCCAGGAGTCCCAATATGCTGTAGCCCCTGTGTTCACTACTACAGCGTAGAGCTGTCTGGGTCCAGTGGAGGCCTTGTGAGGAGAAAGAGGAGCCAGAGCACTGGAGACCCCTGTCCCCTCACAAAAGCATGTGTTTTCTGAACTGGAACCATGGGCCTGGAAGGGGCAGGATTAAATAAAGTCTTTCTCCCTCAGTGTGAGTCAGCGCGTTCTGTCCCTGCAGTGCAGGGCAACCTCCCATCCTGGCCAGTCGTTCTGGAAGGGCCCTCAGGGAACATCTGGTCCTGCCCTGTTCAGGTCAGGAGGGGAAATTGAGGCTCAGAGGAAAACATGGCTGCCACAAAGCACCCAGCAGGTCAGGCGGGAGGCTAGTGAGAGAGGCTTAAGCAGGGCAGGGCTGGGAGGGTCCATGGGTCGGTGGAGGCAGGGCTCCAGTGTCATCTGGAGGGATAAGGGGCTCAGCACAGCTTCCCTTGGGCTGGCGGCCCTGTCCTCCTTGTGATGGGGCTGGGGGTTCTGAGGAGAGGCTTCTGGACTCTCTTCTGTCCTCTCTGCCTCTGAAGTCCCCGTTCTCCCCAGACCACAACCCACTCTGCCCTCGTCTCTGCTGACAGAACTTGAGCACACCCTTCCGCTTACACAGTCCATTCAACTGATCGTATGCAGGCCCCTTCCACAGGCCAGGGTTCGCCAAGTGCTGGGGAACCTGAGGTGAGCAACCTCAGCCTGCTCCTCGGGGAGCTCCCTGCTCCCCTTCCCCCAGCTCTCAGGTCCCATAGGCACCACAGATCACGTGGTCCTCAGCAAATCCAACACCTCCCAGGGCTTCCAGGGCTTGAGCCCCGGGTCTGAGCCCGCTCTGCCAGGCCCTGGGCCCTCCGCCTGCTCGCGCGCTGACGGGGCCGAGCCTCCCTCCTGCTCCAGCTGTCCTTCCTACTGACCCCAGCTTGTGCCCCGCGCACGCTGGTCCCCCGGTGGCTCCAGTGATCCTGAAGTGTGCCCCCCCTCCCAGCCACTGAAATCCCACCCACGCTCAGGCCAAGCCCAGCCTCCAGGAAGCCCTCCCCGGCTGCACGGCGGCGCGGCGCCTCTCTCGGTTGGCTTCCTCCAGCCTGCCACGGTAAGGGGTAGTTCTGCCACTGGCGCCGCGTGTCTGTCACCCGTCTTTGGCCTGGGAGCCCAGAGCCCACGTGCTCCCAGGGTGGGGCCCCAAGGCTCTGGATCCCCCCCGCGCGGCGTGGGGAGCCTGGTGGCGGCCATCTGTGGCCGCCCCCCTTCCCGGCCGGCCTGGGACTCGCGCTCCCGCGCTGGGACTCAGTTTTGGCCTCTGTGTGATGAGGGGCAGGAACGTCGGGCCTGCGCGTCCAGGGCCCCAAGACCTGCACTTGGGCGGGGAGAAGCCATTAGGAGTCACTGGCCGCCAGCCTCGGCCTCCTGCTGCCCCTGGTGGCCAGTCCGCTCACTGCAGGGCAGGGGACGCCCGGCCCGCTCTCCTGCAGGGGCGGGAAAGAAAGCACAAAGGCTGGAAGCCTGCCCGGGGCCCCTCGGCCGCGAGAAGACTGCTCTCTGCTCTAGTCCCGAGGAGTGTCGCTTGAGCAGAGTCCTGGGGCAGTCGGGTCTGAGCTCTTGGTGGAAAATCTCCCGTGGATCCACCGGGAGTGGGGGTGGGGTGGGGGTGGACGTGATCTTAGAGACCCGAGAGGCCCCTGAGCGCGCAGAGCTGGGCTGGGGCCGGAACCCCGCGCCCTGCAGGCCAGAGTCGGAAAGACCCCCAGAACGGTTAGTCCAGCGTATTGCAAACATTTCTTAAAAGAAGCGTAAGGTTTTTTTTTCCCCTAACGAAATCTTAGAGGCCCATATTGTAAACCCACATAAGTAGAGCTGCGGTGGAGGACTGCGAGGAGAGGGCAATTGCCAGCGCCCCACTGAGAGTGAAGTGCAGGGGCCTTTGCTTAAAGATCCCTTGGGAGGTTAGAGGTTAGAATCCAAGAGTTCCATAGCAGGGCCGTGGGTGTGGGGTGGGTAGGAAGAACAATCCAAGATGGGGGAGATGGACCCGCCGCCATGCTCTCCCGGGAAGGGCGTGTGGTCAGGAATGGCGAGGTAGAGGCTCCCCGTGACCGGGAGAGAGGAAGAGAGAGGAATCGCAGGGACGGGGTGAGCAGTGAGGAGGCACCTGGCCATGCCATGCCGTGTCCCGTCCACCCGGAGGGCCCCCCTCCTCCTTCACACTGAGCTCAGCCAAAGGCCACCTCCCTCTTGCTGGCCTCTCTCATCTCCTTGTTCGGCCCTGGGGCCCCTGCTCTGTACCCTCCGCCAGCTCTCTGTTCTCACCTCCGTCTAATATTTACCACTCTCTGCCCCCTCTACTTCGAGCTGCTGGTTTACCGCCTTGCCCTGTGGACTGCAAGCTCACTGGGGGGCAGCTTGTTGGGCCAGGCAGGACCTTGCTCATGAATAATTTCGGTGGATGACGTCAGTGAATCAATAACGAAGAAGTGTTTTGTGCCTGTATTTATATGGTTTATACGTTTTCATCAACAACGGGCGTCCAGGTGAATTCCCCCTGGGGTTCTAGTGCGGAAAGAGAAATTCCCGGGGTAGGGGAGCAGTACCATGAGCACAACCATCAAGTGCGCTGGGCTATGAGCCCGAATGTCTTACAGGTGAAGTTAGAATTGCCCACCAGAGGGCGCTCCAGCCCCCGAATAAAGATCTGGAGGCTGATTGAGGTCCGGCTCTGATCTTAACTCTGGCGCCAGTGTTCGCCCACCAGGTGCTAGGGTTCTCTCCCCTCTCAGTTGACTGTAGCTGGCCAGGGTCTCTGGGAAGGGGCACCTGCAGCTGGCTGGCTCTTCTCCTAGGAGAGCAAAGGTAAGGAAACCACCAGCTACACTGCCTGGGCTTTGCTGGATAAAGAGGAAGAAGGAAAAAGGCTATTGGGGCTTGCAATGCCGCTAACTCACGACAGAAGTCTTCTTATTTTTTTATTGTAGTAAATACATATGAAATTTACCATTTTAACTATTTTAAGGTGTATAATTCAGTAGCATTAGGTATATTCACAATGTTGTGCACCCATCACCACAATCTAGTTTCAGATCTTTTTCATCACCCCAGAAGGAACAGTGTACCCCTTAAGCAGTCAGCCCCCATGACTCACCCCCAGCCTCTGGAAACCACTAATCTGCTTTCTGTCTCTATGGATTTGCCTATTCTGGATATTTCACGTAAATGGAATCATACAGTATGCGGCCTTTGTGTCTGGCTTCTTTCACTTAGTGTAAGAAGTGATTGTTGATCACTTGTTTTCAAGGTTCATCCATGTTGTAGCATGTACCAATACTTCATTCCTTTTTCTTGGTGACTAATAGTCCATTGTATGGATATACCACATTTTCTTTATCCATCCATCTGTTGATGGGCACTTGGGTTGTTCTCATCTTTGGCTATATAATGCTGCTATGAACATCGGTGTACAAATATCTGTTTGAGCCCCTGTTTTCAATTCTTTTGGGTATATACTTAGGAGTGGAATTGCTGGGTCACATGGTAATTCTGTGTTTAACTTTTTGAGGAACTGCCAAACTATTT